AAATTTCGCTGGACTCCTCATAAAATACCATTTTATCCAGATCGCAGAGCAGGGCAAACAATTGGCCAATGGATCGAGTGGTGCCTCCGCAGCGGCGAATCCCAAGCAAATTAGGAAGCTAATGAAGAATTTACATTGTTTGCCAAAACGAATTATTATTAAGCATGCGCTGGCTGGAGCGGAGGACTGGGATTGGGATGTGGATGTGGATGTGGATCTCTGCGGTCAACGAGCGGCGGAGACCAATTATATCGCCGAGCTTTGATCTTGCGACTGGTTCTAGGAGAGCGAGGAGCCGAGGGGCTCTGGCCTGTGGGCTCTCTAGTTCCTCTGGACTATTAAGCATACCGAAAGAAAGTTGGAAAATGTGAAGCAATTGTTTGTGGCATTTCGGCTGCACTTTGTTCTCCGGCCGACACAGCCGAAAAGGGGCGAGGCCGCGTCCTCAGCCTCTAATTCCCACCGCGGTTCGAGATCCGAGACGCGATGCCAAGTTCACCAAATATATTTGTTGTTTTTGGATGGCCGGGGAGATTACGCATTGCAAATAAATCAAATGAAGCGTGCGCCTTATGCCCAATGGAAAGTTCCCCCAATTTCGAGACGCATTCAATTAATGTCAGTCGTAAAACGTGCAGAAAAAAAAGAACTCATCCCAAGCCAGTCGGAAAAGAAAACCAAGTCAACACCCAAAAGATTTATAGGGTAAACCGATTTTTTTTTTGGTTTTGTTGTCTCGCCTCTCGCAAAATGCTCCGAAATCCACTTAAATGTGGCTCGCTGTGACCAAGCCCTGAAACTCGTCGTTCCACATGTGTGGAGAGGTGTCTCTGTTCCCCAGTTACTCACCCCTGCACCCAGATCCAGATCCAGGCTTTAACTTTAACTGAAGCACCAAGGCAGTGAAGCCCCCGAAAAAAACGCTCCAATTTGTCACTTTTGCTTAGGCCCAAGCGGGTGAGATGCAAAAATCTGGGTAATACCCTAACTAAGGGTCATTTTTATTTTATTCTTAGTGATTCAATATGATTAAATATAACAATTTATGAAAAGTTTCCAGTGGTGATTTATGCCGAGGGAATTTATTGAAAATATCCAACACGTTTTTAGGCAATTTACGAATATATATTTACCATTTCACTCCAATAACATCTTTAGAGATTAATGTATTTAAACTATTTATTTAAAACAGATCTTTCAAACTAAAAATTGCAAGTTAAATTCAATTCAGTAAATACTTCATCATAAAATGAAATATCCTAGAGTATCTCCTCTTCGTTTAGGCCACAAAAAATCGCCTTGTTAACCCCAAAAGAAGAGCGAAAGAGAGGCCAACCGGATCGCACAATTGTTATTAGTCTCTTTTTGAGTAAAAGCCGCCGCCACGGACGGAAGATTCAGGCTGGACGGACGGAAGCTGAAGCACGCGCTCTTAACAAATTGGGCTACGGATTTATGCGAGTCGCTGCAAAAGATGAGATGACATCACAGGCGAAATATGTGCCCCAAAAAAGGCGCGGCTCCAACTTTAGGGCAGAGCAGATGAGCAATGGAATGCAGTCGGCTGACAAAAGGCAAATGTAGAGCAAAATGCGCATCTGAGAGATACTCTCAAGGGAGATTTCTGACTTCATCTGCGAAGCCACAAAAATAAGAACTTGAATGTTTTTAAGAATATCCTAGAGATGGAAATTAAACGAAACAAGGCGTGAAACTATTTAAAATAGATCTTAATAAATTTATTTTAACACTTGTATTATTATGCTATAGGAGTGATCAGGCCTAGGTCTAGAATAAGATGTGCTAGCTATGAATTTATTTTCTCATTAATTTCCCTATTGCCATGGACTCCATTACTTAATGCTGTTCACGAATATATATGATTTATAGGGTCGGATATGGCCCTTCACTGATAAAAATTATACTTTTCTCTACGATTCCTGAAACCGAAATTTTTATTTCATAATTGCTTTAGTATTTTTTGGGAAAGTCAAAGTTTAAAATCGCATAACTTTGTCTAAAATGCATTAATTTCAATTCGAAACCTGCATACTAAATTGAACTTTTTAAGAAATGCAATTTTTTTTTATATTTTTCACAATTTAAATGATGTAACCCGTTTCATTTTTTAGAAAAAATTGGGAAAGTCAGTTTTGCAATGCTGGTTAAGAATATTTATGATTCATAGGGTCAGATAAAAATTATATTTTCCTCTGCAATCGAAATTTTTATATATATTATATGGTATGTCTGCCTCTCTTTGTTGCAGCTCTAGAGATGGCGCTTACGCTCTATCTCTCTCTGTTGCAGCTACAGAGGTAGCTCTTTCCCTCTCGCTCTCTTTCTCTGGTATCATTGTTCGGGAAGTATAAATAGAGGTGCTTCGATCGCCGCGACCTCAGTCTGTCCTAGGGGTACCTAGTGTTAACATCGATAGTAATAGTGATAGTGATTACCCTTCGACCTAAAATATATGACGTGGCCAATGGAACACATCCAGATAAACAGGAAGAGATCTTCGGTGCCATGATAATTCTAATTGAAGTCACCACGATTATAAGTCGATACTTGATGAATCCATATCGTAAGATGATACTTAATTAACTCACCAGGAATATAAATCTACATCGGAAGGAATTAAGCAATGACGAAAGATGACGTGTCCTCTACTAAGGTAAGTCTTTACTTTGACAATTATATCATTATTATATTTTAAACGTTAAGAGATGCTAAAATATTATTTAGAAACCTGCAACATTTTCCAATTCTATCAAAATTATATCAAGTTACTCTCCAAATTTCTCATCGACAGCAATATCTCAAGCCATCCTTGGAGTATCCCATGACAGGATGCAAACTAGTTTCCTCTTAAGCAGAACAAATTACTCGAGACATCTTCGCCTTTGGGACTTATGCAAATTCATCGCCGTGTGATTTATGCAATCTGGGAACGTCTTCTGCGTTGAGACATGTCCTTGCATAAAAACTGAGGCAAATGAAATTAGCAGTCCGGTTATTGTCCTTGACAGGATGCCGGATCATTCTTCCCGCGCCGTCGACGACACCTTTATGAAGTGTCAAAGTCAAGAGCCCGGGAGCGAGTTCATTAATTTGACATGATCCGTGATCTTGAAACGTTCAAAAGCCAAATTCATTTCGGGACACTAACTCCGATTTGTATTTTCGCATTCAATGCTCACTGTTTATACACATAATTGTTGCATAATAAACTCATTAATCAAGACTGCTTGACTGGCAGCAACACTGTGGCAGTTGAAAGAGTCCTGTCCCTCCTGGAGGGGATGATCTATGTGTCCCGACATTGCTAATGGTTCAAGATGATGTTGTGATGCATTTTGTACCCCTTTGCTATGTACATATCATAAAAAAGTATGATAATGGCAAAAAAATTTAAGCATCTGCCTTCATTTATAAACATTTGTTGGTGATTTTTAAAGGGCTTTAAATGGGAGAAAGGATCTTTGAAAATTCTGGAGATTAATTGATATCACCAATATAATTTGTAAAGTATATGTATGATACCAAATGCTAATGTAATTGAAACAAAAGTTCATCAAATTTTATAATCCACATATTAACTTAAAATCTTCATAAAGTACTTATATGTATTATAGGAAGACCATCTTCTTGATTTTTGCTTAGATCGTAGCCTATAACATTGACAGCAACATGGAGGGATGGAGGATGGAGGATAGAGGGGTTCAGGGGAAAAGAAGACGCAGAATGACTACAAGTTACAGAAACAACAACTATAGTCAGTGGCGAAAATATGTCCATGTTCCGTATTCCTCGCTCCATCCTGCTCGCACTCGCAGATCGCCTGTCCGACAGCTATCTCTATCCGACTTCATGCAAGGCAATTCTAAAAATTGAATTATTCATGGCGATTGTACGACAATCAATTGAAATTGAAATAAAATGCTGGCTGCTGTTGCTGCTGCTGTTGCGTTGTAGATTTCGCTACCGCCTTTGACATGTGCGCAAAGCGATTTTTCAGATTTTTGTTGTTGCAGTTTTACTCCTTTTTTGACTCTGTGTTTGGCCTGCGTTCGTTCAATTGAAATTGTGATTTAAAGTATCTGTATCTGGATCGATTTGGCATCGATCGAATGTCGCCAAATGTCTCCGATTCTGTGGCATTTCAGGCTGCCAAGTCGACTTTGGGGAGATTTGTCGCCTATTTTGTTTGTGTCTCGCTTTGATTTCCTACGGTTTGTGTGTGCGCTTTTTTTTGGCCATAGACAATTTGTATTTGGCCATGTTAGTGCACAGATCAGACCTGTTCAAGTGTTTGGCAATCTTACTTTGGCTTTGGCTCGAACATTTTCTCTGAATAGTTTAAATGGGCTACGGACAGCAAAGAGTTGAGCTGTGTGAAATAATTTATTGATCTATTTAGGAAAGTAATTCGGCTACGCTTTGATACAGATATAGATAAGACTTGAAATAAATATATATATATAATTGCTAAAGCTTCTATTCATAACTATTCCTTTAAATCTTCCTGTTTGTTTTTAATTTAATCACACACTCATATACATATTAATCATAATTTAATCTAACAATTTACTATCTCTGGCGATTAAAATTCTTGGCTTTCTGTAAAACTTGTAGTGGCTGGAATTTTTTACTCTCTCAAATGGCGCTCTAATAAATATGAACAGACATCAAAGCTAATGCCTCAACTCATCACCGGAATGATGAGATGAGCACGCGAGCTGACCAGATATGCGCCCGATGCCAAGGCCTAAACTTAATTAAAAAATTTTCGAGGCTGCCGGAGGGAAGATGCAAGATTTGCCTACCGGCTAAAGAAATGTTAATATGACGACTAGAAAAAATATATATATTGCGAAAACGCAGCAACAGCAGTAGCAGCAGCATCAGCAACAGCAACTTCACTTGGCAGATTATGACGACAACGATGCTGACAGACGGAGCCAGAGGAAGCAAGTGGCCAGATTCAAATGGACTCATAGTCAGAGTAGCCGGTAGTCGGGAGTCGGGAGTCGGGAGTCTCCGTCTCCATCACCGTTCCAGTTCATGGCTAAATGCTGCTCGTGCTGTGATAAATTACACGTCATTTTGGAGTGTTGCGCTTCCTTGTTACTCCGTCAAGTGGTGTTGACACGGCCGCGGCGAATGCAGGGTATTAAACGATCCGAGCAGCACTGTTCGTGCCTCCCTCCAGTGGTGTTATTAAAATGAAATCATCATCATCACGAAGTGACAAAAGCCGCAAGAGCTTGACCGGAGCAGAGAAAGACTTGGCTCCGGCCGAATGCCTTGAGGATCACTTGAGTGGGCATCTGGGCACGGAGGCAGCCATCTGATCGGGCTTATGACAGGAGAATTCAATTAGATGTATGGAAACGCGTTGATTGTGCCACGGGAATCGCTGTGCAATTGCCGCTGGCGGAGATCCAATTTAAACAGAGTGTTATTAACTCTATGGCATTACTTTTTTCCTGTTACACTTTATAGACATTAAGGGGAGTGAGAGCATTTCTTTTAGAAGATTACAAATAATTATGATTAGTATTTAAATAAAATATTTAAGAAATTATCATTATGTAAATCTTAAAATACGTAAAGTTTATGGAAGTGAACTTTTAATTCAATATTCACAAAAAAATGCTTTCTTTTTGGCGAGTAGAAACCAAAGACTTAGGAAACGAACTGGTTTTCTAGTAGTAGAATTACCTTAACTTATAATTAGAAAAAATACAAATGATGGTTACAAATGGTTCCAAGGAATTTCAATATTTAATCATTTAAAACGGCTTTAAAAACTATTATCCTATTAATTTAATATTATAATGTTGTGTTGCTTCATATTAAAGGAAAAATATTTTTTATGACAAGCTTTGTTATTATGATTAATGATTTTAAATTTTAACAAAGAAGTTTCAAGAATATCTTCCCTAAATATTTATCAAACAGTTTAAATTAATGTATTTTCCTTCAAAGTAAATAAAGAAACGAGATGGAAATGCATTCAAGCATTAAAACTAATACAAAAGACTTAGGCAACAAACTTGTTTTCACCATTTTGCCGCGACAAGCTACAAATATCATTAGATGTTTTCTTTTCGGTTTCTCTCAATGTTTATTTACGCTGATCGGCGGGCATTAAGTGCCCACCTCCTTGCCACATTAGCCAGCCAGTCGAATACGAATACAAATGGATGCACATGCACAATGGAACCAAAACCAAAATCCCAACACTCGCGCGCGCTCTCGGCCAACACACTCAAGTGATAACAGTACCGTGTGTAGCGTCAAATGGGGGTAAAAAATAAAAAATAAACAAAGAGCAACCAACAGCCAACCGCATCGACACAATATTCAATGAAAACGAACGAAACGCTGCAAGATCGTGCCGGTGCCAACAGCCAACCAGAGTTCAGCTAAAAGCGACAGAGCGGCGATGGAGAGCGGAGATCTGAGATTGCTGAGAGTGAGTCTGCAGCAGCGAACATGTTTGAAGCTAAGTCGGTAACAGAGTGCACTTAGAGAAATATTTCTAACCAAATGGGAGTAGGGAAAACTTATGGGGAAATTGTATTTGAAGTGGATTCTTTAAGTACTGTAAGTAAGTAAATAAGTACTTACTTAAGTACTTCTTTAAGATGATAAACTATATCATTATAGTATGGATATTCAGGAAAATCTTACATTCTTTAATAATAAGTTTCTTTTATTTCTAGAATAATTTAAAGTTTATTTATCATGGTTCATTTTTATTTATTTATTGTAGAACACTTTAATTAAATTGAATAAACAATCTTTTACTGAATTGTTAACCAGATCCGTTTACAGATCGAGCCAACTTAACAGAGTCTCATAGGTAAACCAGCAGCACCAGCAACTTGAGCAGCAGTAACATCATCAACATCAGCAACACCAACAGCAGCAACAGCAGCAGCAACAGCAGCAGCAGCAGCTGTTTTACCAAACAGGAATTCCTGTCGCCGTGGTGGCTGATTAACAGTTAAGTTTCGCCTTGCCCCGCCACTGTTACAACGCACACAGCTGCATAGCCGCGACGCGTGCGCTTTGTTGTCTTGTTGCTGCTGCTGTTAGTGCTGCTGCTGCTGCTGCTGTGGATGTTGCTGCTGCTGGTGTAGATGTTGCTGCCTCTGCTGCCGCTGCTGCTGCTGGGATGAGATGATCTTTGAGGCCAGGGCCAAGTCAGTCCGGGTCTGTTTGGCGCTCAGAACGACGATGACGATTTAGTCTCGGATGGACGCTACGCTGCCAAGCATCGTCAGTTAGGCTTACGCTGCTCTCTCGATCGTAGTTGAAGTTGGATTCGCAAGTCTTCATATATATGCTATCGATCGCGATGTTTGTCGCCACGTGACTCTGTCTCGATATAATTAGAAAAAGCCGTCGCTAAATCGGATTTATTGTGTGGCATGTCTAAAAAATATCTGATAAGATCGATTGATAATAGTCATGCAGAAAAGCCGCCAAGTGTGTGAAGTTTAACATAAAAAAATCAAGAAATAATAGAAACGGATAAAATAAAAACAAAATATGTGAATTTTGAAAAATAAACAAATAAGAAATAAAATATTTTAAAGTGTAAAATTTTACTGAACAATTTATGCTGTTTTGGAAATATATTATTTGGAAAATGTAAGTTAAATTACTCACTTATTGTAATAAGAATTAGTTAATTTGCATAATAAAATAGAACATATAAAAATAACAAAACAATTTGCAAATCTTCAGAATTCCAAAATAAACAAATAAAAAATATAAAAAAAGCATACACTTTGTTAATTTATCTCGGTTGGAACAGATTAACAAATCTTAACAGATAAATCAAAGCCTTGAAAGCGGAAAAAGTTGATGCATATAAATAAAACATTTCATTGAATTAAAATCATTTTGCATAATTAGCATAAATTCAGCTTCAACAAAGGCAGCGATTAGAGATCAGATAATGGTGTTGGATAAATGTGTTTAGAAAGAATTCTGATAATAAAACATTTAATCAATGTGGCAACTCACTTAAAAATATAAATAAATATGTAAAAGGGAATTAAAATGTTCAAATATTTAAGAAATTGTTATTGACTAAAAAGTAAACATCTTTCAAGATGTATCATAATTAAATAATACTTAACTTCTTACAGAACATGCTAATATTCTTTAAAGCCGCCGACAGAAATGCTTTTGATCAAAATATAATGTAATAAATAAAATAAATCAATATCAGTATTCTATCAATTTATTAAATAAAACAAGGCAATTAAAGTAAAAGTTTTCAAAGTGATTAATATAATGGCTAATATTATGTTAGAACAATTTTGAACTCAATCTAACAAAGAGAAAGTAAAGCACTAAATAACAAATTAAATATAATAAAAAGTTGTTAAAAACAAGACGAAATGCCCAAGAACCCGTCATAATAAATCAGCCTAAACAAACAGATTTCAAATAATTAAAATAAATGATATGTATGTAAAAGGATTTACCAAAATTTGCTTTCTAATCAAGGCCCTAACCCCAATTCCCAAGAGTTCATATTTAGCTTTAAGGACGCCGCCCAAGGAGAGCCAGAAAAAAGCGGTATATCGAAAACAAAAGAAGCTCATTGACATGCTCATTAATAATGTTATTGCCTTTTGTGCGATAAGTGTCAAGAAATTACTACAATAGGAGGGAATATAGGGACAAAGTTGGGAGAGATATTCAAACATTTAATTGTCCAACTGCTGTCGGCAATCAAGCAGAAAAAGGGCCATTGCCAGCGGCTTCGACTGGATCGTGGATCCTCGATCGAGGATCGGGGATCGCGGATCGAGGAGGCAGACAATTCAAACTAGAGCGTGTGACTGCTGAGTGGATTTGCATATTGCGAATGTCCATCGCCAGTGGCTGCAGGGCTAATAATAAAGCATATTACCGGCAATTGTCTGCCGGAAGATCGGAGGATCAAGAGGATCGGAGGATTGGAGGATCGGAGGCAAAGGGTTTGGGCTTTTAGACTGTGTCAATGCTCCAGGGTTCGTCGAGTTGTGTTCTTGATTCTTGTTCTATTTTGTAGCCGCTTCAAAATATTTGAGACAATCGTGGTTTGCTTGTTTGAACACCTTTTCTCCCTCTGTGTGTGTTGCCTTTTATCTGATTTGGCATTGTGTCCATCATTTTGTTTGCTTTAAAGGACACATCTTTTATGTGGGCCTCTTGTTTATTATTCTTATTGAGGAAAATCCCTCCACTTTTTCCCCAATTTTTTTTCTTTGTACCTCTCTGCTTCGGTCTGTCAACAGCAACTTGATGAGCTTGTTGAGAATATATGTAGCTACATTCAACTGATCTGGTTCTTATTGTCTAAGCCGCTCTGAACTCGTCCCTCCCCCCTCATTCGAGTTGAACTTGGATTGGCACACAGCATTTTGTAGATTTCCAGAGATTAGATCTGAACAATCATCCACTTGGCTTACGATCAATAAGTATGTATTTTCTGTAGCAGTTTGGGTTTCTAATTAATTGTTTTGTACCCGCTCAATGTGTAACATTAATCTTGGTTTAATCGATAAGCCCGTCAGCCGGGATTGTTCCTATTGCTAGTGATCTGCTCAGAAATGAACAATGGGTCTGCTTTTCGGTTTTGAATTTGAAAGGAGAGTCAAATTTTTAGGCATCGACCTGCACCACTCTCCTCCACTCATTGTTTTCCCACAATCAAAGACTGCCCATCGAACTAAATAAATGAAAGAGATAACCATTCACCTTTCTGGCAGAGGGGTTCGGCCTGTGGGACTTTTAATTAGCTCCAAGGTATGGGAATTATGTCCTGCTCTTCATGACTTCCACTTAACTATTCCGGAGATGCTGCAGGAATTAGACGAGTCTCTGGCCTTGGTCGGCGTCGTGATTGGGCCACAAGGATCGGCGATAGAGGCGTCTTCGATGGATAGAAATCTGCAACTTTATCGCTCAAGCGTGCTGTTCGATTGCATTGCTTTCGGGTTTCTTAAAAAGGATCGAAATGATTTAGCACATTGTGTGTTTATATCGAGAGATAAGCCCATAAGAAACAGGTTTCACTTGCATGTGGTTTATGTCTTTTTTGGTCTACATACGGCTTATATTCGGATTAGAAAATTAAATTATATAGAATATTTAGATTCGAATTTATTTTATTAGAGGATATTACAGATATGGATCGTTAGATATTTAATTCACATGTTACATCTATATTTATTTATAACCATAAGCTACTATTATTTCTATATAAATTGATATATAAACTTTTATATTACCTGCAACATCTGAATTAAATTGAAATTGATCTATTTTTGAAAAGTAACTACCAAATTCCTACTTCAAATAAAGTGTTCATTTATATTTTTATTATAAATATATTTATGAACATAATGAATCTAAAATAGTTTTATAATATTACTTTATAAAGTAGTACAAATTCTCCTATTTCTCTGTATACAGTTTTGAAGTAAGACTCCTTAAATATAGTAATATGAGCTATTAAAGCTAATCCTTATCGAAAACCTACTGCATTTACTGACCCCCATTGACTTACTGTCATTATGGATAAATTTTACCATCTTGAACTTCTTCTGTGCTGAGCTCCAACTCATTGTTTATAAATCCATTTCGCCAAAACTCCTCCATTCGGCTGTATATTTTAGATTATCACCATGAACCTCAAGTTCTGGGTCTGTTTCTGCTGTGAGCTTCTCTGGACGCTTTTGTCAGCAATTGAAGATCTCGTGGTGGGGCTGCAGGTTCGCCTTATGATGATTTTCCCGCTTTCTGGAAAAGCGCACCGCTGTGCCGAAAATTGTCACGGTTTCGCGGTCACTGCGCTCGCTCGCTGTGAAGGTGCAAATTTAATGTTTGCCAATTTAGCATCGCTCTGCTGTCACCTTTGGTGTCCATTAGCGAGCGTTTATATGCAAAGTGCCGGGTATATTGGCAGCCGGCGGGAATTCGGCGGCACGGCGGCTGGCGGCTTGGTGGATCGACTAGGCCATTATCACAGGAGCAGCATCACGTTGTGGCACCACCACCTGCTGGGCGCATTTTGCAGACCAGCTCCCTGCCACTGTCAGTCCTGGTCCGGGAAATCTTCAGATACGGACACCTTGGTGGAGCTCTAGAATTATGGGAACTTTTGGGTTTTAAAAGGGAGCTCAAGTATAGAAAATGCATTTGATTATTTTAAAAATTCCATTTTAATGGCTTTATTAAAAATTATTTGGAGGAAATTATAGAAATTTCGGATGTAAATGTATTTTTTGTTCTGTTTAAAACATTATCTACTTACACATATTTAATTTGTTAAATTTTTTAAGAGTCTATAAAAATTCTAAGCATTTATATTTATTTTGAGAGCATAATTTTATTAAAAACATTTCCTTAGTTATATGAATATCTAGGTGAAACCTTTCTAAATAAAGTCAATGAATATAAGTCTCTATCTCCAAAAAAACAATGAGTATATAGAGTAAATTTATATTATATATAATTATACAGCCTAATCTTTAAATTTTATTAGTCTCTTTAGTTAAAACTTATGCGGAACATAAATAAATGGTTGACATCCCTTTTGACTTGGAATATAAAGCAAAACGCACTAAATTGTTGATTTTATGATCACTTATAATTAAGAAGAAACAAAGACTGTCAGGCATCGTGATTTATTCACATTGGTGATACTTATTGGTTACACTTACTACAAATAAGCAAAGTATTTCAGTTTTACAAACTTTTACTTTATTTATTATAATATAATATATATAATCATCTCTTAATATCTTAACCTATATATTTATTTAAAATTTCTAAACAATTTTAACTCTTGTACTTTTATTATTATAAATTATTCAAAAGAATAACATCCTTGAATTGCATTTTAATTTTAAAATAATTATTATTAAATCTATCAGTCACATAAAACTAACTATAATTTAACCTTCTCTCAGGAAACCCTTTGTAGAATCCAATAAATTATGTTCCTCCCCAAAATAAAAAGCAAATTTAGTACCAAATAATTTTTTGCAAGCGCCTCGAATTCTCACAAAAATGTGTGAAACGCAAAAGCACACACACTCCTAGGCATTATTTGCACACAAATGTGTGTCTTAGAATTTATTTTGTATATCCATGACAAAATTGATCCCTCCCTCAGATTCTTCATGCTCATTAAATAGTTGACGCAGAATTTTCGTATATATTTTTCATCTCTGCTGGACTTTTTTTTTGTTCTGCTTTTTTTGGTATATCTTCTTTTTTTTAGCTTGACCTTAGGCTTAATGGGCAGGCAAAACAAGTCACTGCGGCAGTACATTGCATTAGATGTGTGAACGTGAAGCCGTCCCATGGGAAAGAGTGTGCTAAGCGAGGAGGCGGGGGGTTGAGTGAAAGAGAGGGGAGGATGAGGTGCAGGGTCTTCTGACATTGCCGGGAAAACTTTGATGGTGCAAGCCCAAACCGGTCGCTGCATACCTCAATTTCTATCCACGACCTGTAGCGAAATAACACAACAACAACACACAACAAAAAAACAGAATTCCAAAAAAAATAAAAGTATACAACAACAATAACAAAAAGAATAAAAATAAAGAGAAACGCAGTGGGTCATCGGTTATGCATGTTGTTGTTTTTACTTTTTCGTCTTTTTTTTGCAGCTTTTTGGCGTGGCTTCTTCGTGGCTTTTGTTGGTGTTGTTGGTGTAGTTGGTGTTATTGTTGTGGCCATGGCCTCGTCTTCTTGATCACAGCTGAGCCAAGTTAAGAACAACAACAACAACAAAGTGAAAAAATAAAAGCCAATGAAAAGAAAAATAATCTGTGAAAAAAAAGGCATCATCAATAACAAGGACAATCGTGAAGAGGTTTCACAGAGTTGGAGTTTTTCAATTAGGCTTTCAACAACACGTTTAGCCGAGGGATAACTAATAACAAAAAAAGAGGTTGAAGCAAAACAGAAATATTGCTTAAGTGATAAAAGTAAAATTCAATTAACTTAAAGTGTTTAATTTTGTACGTATCTTGTGTGTAAAGAAATGTTATGTTATTAATTCAGTCATAAAAATACTATTCTTCGTAACTGTGAGATTTGTTAGGAAGAGTTTTATGACAAAAGTAACTAAAGAACAAAAATAATTAAATCATAATTTATAATATGTTTAAGCAGCTATTTACATTATAACTATATATAAATAATATTTTAAAGGTAGTTGTGCTGTTATTAATCCCTTAAATTTTGTATAATATAGGAAAATGGTTTTTATTTTATGTAACTTATTAAGCATTTCCTATTTTAATTGAAATAAATCAAAAATTTTAAATTATACAAAAGGTTTCTATAAACTAGTTTGCCACAAAACTATTTAACCTTTAATTATTATTTAATACCACAAAATCATAAATTATGTATCATAACTACATAGATCCACTGGAAAATGACTCCCTGACTTCATTGTAAAATTCTAATTTAAGAATGTAATACACTGAAAAATTAAAAATAGAAATAGAGAAAGTTAATTTATTCTTGTATATATATATTTATAATATATATTTTATATAATCTTTATTATTTTACAGATGAACCAGCTGTGCAAAGTGTGCGGCGAACCGGCGGCTGGTTTTCATTTTGGGGCTTTCACTTGCGAGGGCTGCAAGGTGAGTAGTTAATTTTTAAGCAACCATAAACTCTGGGAACTCTTTTCTACCCAAATCGATATTTTATGGCAACTAATCCGGACAGTTGTGAGAAACCAAAGAGATTTAATTTCGCACATACTTACTTGTGCAAAATATGATCTGGATTTTGGCTTTTACTTTTAACTCAAAGCAAAATCGAAAACATTATTACAGTAATTAAATTTCAATTCGGTAGATTAATCGATTTTTAATTGACTTTAAGTAGATACGTGTGCGCAGCGGCCACAATAGAAGGCTCACCTTCAAATGGCATGGGAAAATGTCTGCGAAATTCAGAGCACACACCGATATATATTTATATATGTATATAGAGCTAGCTAAGCCCCAAGGCGAGCACAATTGTAAACTGCAGTCAATCAAATAAAAATTACATGCATATTAGGTGAGTCAGCGCAATCGGAAACAAAAGTCGCAGACACCCATCAAACACCACTCAAAGTTGAACTTCAAAATCAAGCTCTTGAACGTGAGTCGGCATCGCTCCAAAACAATGAGAATATCAGCTGTGATATAGTAAATGGTTCCTCAGCTGTATCGTTGTACCTTCCTGATCTACAACCAGTTCTCGGTTGATCTGATGACTGGCTCTGCCTCTGGGCCTGCCTTTTACAAGTAGTTGTTCGAATTATCAACGCACATTTAATAATTAAAGAGTGACAGGTGCAAATAAGGTAGAACAATGGTTAAGAAAGATATTTGTAATGAAAAGTAGCAGGATTTATTTGAGGTTTAAAATAAGGAAGGGGTCAAACACGATTATTAGTTAAGTGACTGACTAATTAACGCCAAATGACAACATAAAATGTTAATTAGTAGAAGTACTAATCCTTACCTAATCCTTTACATCCTTTCAGTCCTTCTTTGGCCGCACCTACAACAACATCGCGGCAATAGCAGGATGCAAACACAATGGCGATTGTGTGATCAACAAGAAGAATCGTACGGCTTGCAAGGCCTGCCGCCTGCGCAAGTGCCTCCTCGTGGGAATGTCCAAAAGTGGCTCCCGCTACGGCCGAAGATCAAACTGGTTCAAGATCCACTGTCTCCTCCAGGAGCAGCAGACGACGGCGGGAGCGGGAGGTGGAAGCGCCTCAGGTGGTGGCGGAAACGGTGGTGTAAGCAGCGCCAGCCTGGAGCAACTGGCTCGCCTGCAGCAGGCTAGTAACCAGGCGCGGCAAACGTACCAGGACAAGACCAATCCCTGCATCAAGTCCGCCACTTCCACATCGCCGAGAATCGAAGGAGCCGCTGTGGGAGCCGGAGTGGGTGTCGGAGCCGCCTCACCATCCTTCCTGCAGGCGGCCAAGTTCCATCATCATCACCAGCATCAGCATCAGCGGCACTTGAAGCTGGAATCCCGCCTTAGCAACACGCCCAGTGACTCCGGAGCCTCCTCCGCTGGGGATCCTAACGAAGATGGAGCCACCAGTGTGCTCAGTGGTCACATTGCCACAACAACAACCAACGCTGGCAATCTGCCACGTTTTGATCTGAGGAATCCCAGCTTTCCAGCCAGCTCCGAACCGGATGCGGATCTGCAGCGCCAGCGACACCAGGAGCTGCTCGAGATCTTTCGCAGTCACTCGGAGCCGCTGTACAGCTCCTTTGCACCATTTAGCCACCTGCCACCCGTACTCCTTGCCGCCGGAGTTCCGCCACTGCCCATTTTCAAGGATCAATTCAAGGCGGAGCTGCTGTTTCCCACTTCCAGCAGTCCGGAGCTGGACGAGCCTATCGATCTGTCGCTAAGATCACGTCCGGATCCGGCTAGTCCGGTGGCTCGCAGTTCCAATAGTCCTAGCTTGAGTGAACCCGCTGCTGCAAGTCATTGCTTAGGGGAATCCCCGACCTTTGCGCGCAAGACCACGCCCCTCGATCTCACTCTGGTGAGATCACAGACCCTGACGGGCTGAGGTTATCTCGTGATTGCCAGAGAATTCGTTCGAGTGCCAAAACAATTTCGAGTACTTTAGGTTAAGGTATGTAAAAAATATTTAAACAATTTGTAAAAATTTTAAAGTTTCTGAACTGATTTTTTTATGAAATAACATCAGTAATAAATTTCTAAAATCTCTATTTCCAATAAAAAGGCTCTTAATGATTTCCTTTTTTAATTTTTTTTCTTCTGCAAATTATTATTTCAAATAACATATTTTAAAAGAATAAAAAAGTGTTAAGAAATTGAAAATTTTGGTGCCAGTGAAATGATGTACAAAATATCCATATTCATAGGTTTAAAGTTAGCTCAATTACATTAACTAAGAAATGATTAGGATAAGAGATACATAAATAAACATAGAAATAAATTATAATATTTAGAACAATTTACAAATAATTGTCATTTGATGTGCGATATGTATTTACGTTTTTATTGTTTTCTTAATTTATATATAAATTGTCTATAATGTCAAATTTTAGAAATCTTAATTTAATGTTGTTTTCGTATTGACCTTTTGTTTGTTTTATTATTTTTAAATAATTTATTTTTCTAGCCAGATAAGAAAGGATAAAAGTGTAAATGAAGAAATAAAATAAAAGAGGTGAAGAAGTTAACAAAAAACAACACAATCAAACTGAAAGTTTGAACCAGTATATCCTTGTTTCCGTTTAAATTTTAATCCATAAACTTTCCATATAAAATCTTGATTTCTGGCTCTCTGGAGGCCGACATAAAAAGGCTTCATTCCATTGACACATGACCAAACTCTTTGTCTGACCATTTAAAGCAGGAAATTTCTTCAAGTACATATCGACAGATACAAAAATATACACCTATATAGTTATATATGAATTCAATTCAACTGTCACAATGTCTGTGTTTACGTGTATATCCATCAAGGGGCCAACAGAAAATCCTGGCCAGCCAATGCGTTATTCATTACATAACAGTCCAGGGGCTGACATATTTCCAAATGTCAGGCTACCTAGATGTTGACTATATAAATGTAATTATGACAGGCCAAGACAGATGACACAAGTTTATCTCGGCTCAACGGGAGAGCAGAGACTTGAACGGAGAACAAGACAAAAACAAATGACTTAGGAAACGAACGCGAAATGAAGTCGCTCGTGTGTGTAAGTATATCGCTATATTGCTGAGTCTATGTTTATGTATTATGTTGTTTAAAGAACTAACATAAATATGTTTTTAATTTAAGATAAAGTCATTAACAATTCAAGATTTACTAAAAGCTTTAGAGGATATTGTTCCTCTATATCTATCGATTATCTATCGAAATCGTTCTGGCAATTCAATCGTTTCTCTATCAAACGATGGTTTTTAATTCCAAGACCAACTGGATAAATTTATTTTGATATTAAGATTAATTATTATCATATTTATTTGCTGCCACGGCATAAGTTCTTCACCTTTTTATATATTTATATTTATCAAATCTTTAATTAATTTAGTAACTATGTAAAATAAGCATATATTATCTCTATTATTGTACATTATTATAGCCTAAGGTTATCCATTTTAATTTATGCCCACCCAACCGACTATTATATGTACATACGTTTAAAAGCCTTACTTTTTCAGTAAAATCATCAGCCATTATGGACCCGACCCCATATGCATACTAGTATTGCCTGACCGTCTTCACTGATTTATGCACCTTAAACACTTCACTCCGCGTACGTTTGGCCATCACTCACACTCCGAAGTGGTCATATATACGAAGACATAACTCTCTTGATTGGCTGCGAAACTCTCGCCCGGCGATTCACACGTCTATTCGATGGCTCTACGAGTCCGCGAGAGAGTAGTATCTTTCGGAACACGCCCCCAGAGAGCGTTCGCAGCGCAGCAGACAAAGTGAGATACAAAGCTGAATAATCGCACGACACACGCACAATTAGCCGCTCCAAACGGTAGCCGCTAAACAGAAATAATGCTTGAAGCCAAAATTGGTGGGTATCGGGATCGGTGCTGAAGACTTGCTGCGGGGATAGCGCGGGGCACTAACGGAGACACCGACTCGCGTGCTCAATATGACTTTAAAATGCATTTATGCACAGAGACACAAGTGGCCATTGGTGTAGATGCTTGTTGCCAGATACTACTCGGCACTTTCGCAATGAGTTTTATTGGTGTCTGCAGATAGAGATCGAAAGATATCGAAAGAAAGGTGCATATAGCAATGTTTCGGATTAAGTGCCTTGAACACCCTAAGACCACCCAACCTACATACATACATTGGCAGGTAACACAATAGCCCCTGCTGAACCAATAATAATCATAATATTTTGTGACGATTTACGACGGCCGAACTTGAAGCATTCAATAAAATGAGAAAAATAAATAAATCTATGGCACGGAGGGAAAATGAAATGAAATCAGTTTACAATCCGATACAGACACAGCGGGCGGGCATTTACAAACAATGAAATTCAATGCAATAATTCAAGATTCAATTGAATTTTAAGTACGCCCCGAGCAGAGCTTCCTTCTGGATCTCTGTAACTAGAGACTGACGATAAGCTAAGGCCACCCGACTGTCAGTCAGTCAGTCAGTCAGTCAGTCTCGCCGACGGCAATCCATCTCAGCCCAACTCTGTCCGTCCGTCTTTGTGTCATTTCGTCTGTGTGTCGCGCACGCGCATAAACTTTTCAGTCCGCAGATTGAACAATCGAAGGCGTCGTCGTCTCGTTGACTCTGTTTAGTTTTTTAAGAGGGATTTGGCCCAGAAATTGAGGCCATTTTCGGGAAAGGATTATTCCAAATGCAATTGGGTAGAGAAATTAGTTATTTTGAACGAGAGCCGAAGAAAATAGAGCCACTATTTTGTGTTTAACAACATCTTGGAAAAGATAATTGAAAGGTCTAGGAATAATAAATATAATTATTCAAATTTTTTAGCAATTTTCCATGCTTGAATTTAATTATTTAAAGGTCATTCATATTTTTAAATAAGTTAAATAAATCTTTTTAGGTTAAATTCCTATATCTTCTTATTACATTCTCTCTAACCGCCATTTTATTTCTAATATATGAACAAAACCCCTCTTGAAGATCCGTTTAGGAAAAACAAACAAGACACTAAAACACTCTTCACCTTGCTGCAGTGAAATCTCAAAAAAAAATATAAAAAATATACAAATCCGCAACAAAGCGCTGCAACAAGAGTTCAGAGTTGTCAATAAAAATTAATTGCAATTTTATTGCCACAGAAGGCAGCTCCTGCATACAAAGTATTCGAAACGCATGGCACTTCAATGCTCTTCAGGCTGCTGAGATGTCACTGACTTGTTATGCGTTTTGTAGCCGTTTCAAAAAATTTAATTTAAGAAGAAACTTCAGGTTAAACCATAATTTTAAGTTTGTAAAATAATTATGAATATTTTTTCTACTGCCCTCTATATATACTCCATATTTTCAATAGTTCATTGAAATCCGAAGTTTTTTACTCTTTTTATTTTTATTTGGATCATAACTAAGCAAAAAATTAATAAATTTTAATCCAGATTTATTAGTTTAAAAAAATCAGAGAACTAGTTTTAAACTTAAAAATATTTTTAAGCACTTTTATGATCGGAAATTTGATTTAAGCACAAAATTATAAATAATTTGCAAATGTATAAAAATACAAACTTGATTTTAAGGGTATCCCAACGACAACCTTTGAGTGCTGTACAATGTATATGACCGTTTATGTAGCTGATTCCCGTCCAAAGATTCAAGTGACCCAATTTTGCCGCCCAGCACAAAACCAAAAGCGAAACAAAAATTAATTCAATTTGGAGCGGCCTGATGCTGCGGGCACCTAAATGTTAAAAAATGCATAACACGTGCGTTCCGAAATGCGAGCAACAAATGGTCAGCTGTAAACCGGGCCCATAAATAAACCCCTTTGTCGGTTGCCATTTTTGAAATGTTTCATTATAAAAGCCGAAAAGTAGGCAATGCAAATTGCAGAACATCTGCTTAATCCATATAATAAAACAATAAGGTGTTTTTTATCAAGAATATTAAAGAATACCATACATTATTTATTTATTAGCGAAGCAATATTGAACTAGTGCACAAAATTAACATTTTAAAATTAAGAATTAATTTTCTTATTTTTTATTTGAGAAGCATTCTTTTTTTATTATAACAGCTTTTAAATTGTATTTTATTTTAAACAATTTTAAAACTTTATTTAATAGCATTTTTATATAAAATATTTAAGTATATTCGTAAAATCGACTTATTCGTAGTGGTATTTTTTTAAATTGTTACGCATATCGATATTCTGATATTTTTTGTTTTGCGATGTATCCCCTATCGATAGTCGATGACCGGCTGAAACAAAAGACAGATTTTCCAACTTCATAAACGTTTTTCCGACTGATATCTGATATGCGCTAATACAATGTATCCTGTGAGCTCACAGAAGAAGTCATGGACCTTCGCCAACGAGGGCCAGTTGATGGCGTTCCGTGTGGAGCAGAACAATAAGTACATCGAGGAGCATGAGGCGGAGGCGCAGGCCTACGATGACCTAGAGGACTATTTCCTTACGCCGGCTGAGGAGCGCCTGTTGCTGAAGCAGTACGAGATCTATTTGTTCGACTTCTGCCGCCGCTTTGATCCGCCCATGCCAAAGTGTGTGGTTGGCACAGCGTTCCACTACTTCAAACGGTTCTATCTGAACAACACGCCGATGGACTATCATCCCAAGGAGATACTGTAAGCATACTGACGGCCATATAATATATATTTAATAATAAGGGAATCTTTCAGGGCCACTTGTGTGTTTGTTGCCTGCAAAGTCGAGGAGTTCAACGTGTCCATCAATCAATTTGTTAACAATATCAAGGGAGACAGAAACAAGGCCACGGATATTGTGCTGTCCAACGAGCTACTTCTGATTGGCCAGCTCAACTACTACCTCACCATCCACAATCCATTCAGACCCATTGAGGGTTTCCTCATAGACATAAAGGTGGGTAACCAAGTCCTGCAATTAATTACCGGATCTTAATCGTTATAATTTCAGACCCGCAGCAAGATGCCGAATCCGGAGAGATTGCGTCCACATATTGAAAGCTTTATTGATTCCACTTTCTACACGGATGCCTGCCTGCTGCATGCTCCTTCCCAGATCGCTTTGGCTGCCGTACTGCATGCTGCCAGCAAGGAACAGGAGAATCTCGATAGCTATGTGACGGAGTTCCTATTTGTATCCGCTCGAGAAAAGCTGCCTGGTCTTATAGACGCCGTGAGGAGTAGGTATATTCAACAATTGTATTATATTACCTATTAATTCCTTGATCTATCAGAAATCCGTATCTTGGTAAAACAATATCAGCAACCAGAGCGGGATAAGGTCAAAGCCATTGAAAAGAAGTTGGATAAGTGCCGCAATCAGGCCAATAATCCGGACAGCGAACTGTAAGCCTAATTCAGCATATTATCAAGACCTCAAATTAATTTTTGAATTATTTTTTAATAGTTATAAGGAGCGCCTACGTCGTTTATACACCGATGAGGATGATATGCCTGGTGAAGACGCCTCATTCCACATAGCAGATGTCAGCTCAGATACATCGGCCATGAATATAAGCCAATAACTTTTTGTATTTCGATGATTAAAGAACGAATTTTGCATGGTTTATTATAACAAATATTTATATAAATATAAAACAAATAAATTCAGGGCAAACCTTTATTTATAAAAATAGTATTTTTTTTCGAATATACTAAGCTTTCCTTTGGTATTTCCTAATTGTAAGCTGCGGTCCCACTGCTCATAACAAAAAACAAGAAAATCCGAACAACAAATAACAAAAGTTTTAATCCACAAAATGCAGGACATATTCCCCTCTCTGGATGGCCTGTTCCTTGGCCTGCCGGGACACTATTCCATTGCGCTGACCACTCTCCTCCTCTGCGTTTTGATTGCTCTCTATTTTGCGAACTTCTTCAAGGACAAAACCGTGGGTGTTCCTCCGAATTTCTGGAGAAACATGCATTTGTACATATTTATATACATATGTTTGACAATTGTTCACTTGCAGGAACTGGAGGACGAAGGATTAGGAGCTGATGAACCGCGTGACGAGGAGGAATCCGAGTCCCGAACACCCCATGAGGAGGAAACCGATGACGATGAGGCCTACGAGGAAAACTCCACCGACAGTGAAGTAGAATTCATTGAGGATCAAGATCCTGCTGGCCAAAATTACAACCACCTAATGGGCCAGCTCAAGGCCAAGAAATTCCAACACAAGATGGAAAAGACTCTGACACCGGATCAAATCGAGGAGGAGCGCAGGATCGAACGGGAGCAGCTGGCGGCGATCTTTGAGCTGCTGCGCAAACAGGAGGCGGAATTAAATCTCCAGGATCGCATCAGCGACCAGGATCTCAAGAAGCAGGTGCGGCTGTACCGCTAAAGAAAAAGTAACCACAATACAAGAAGCTAAGCAGAAAGGAGCTCAGCTTACCTGAAAGCGGAAACATGTGTGATCTATAAGTTAATAGTTTCGTTATTATGATCATCGCTTACTTACTGCAGGATTGTCTTGATTTTACATTTTTTAATCTGATTTGTGTATTAGTTTTGGTCCCTGAAGACCTTTTCTGTTTTATTAACCTTTACCAAAAAACTCATTTACCCATTTTATTGCCGGGAAGTTTTATGAAAAATGAAAATTTAGGACGTTACCAGAATAAATTACCTTTCTTTTCGGACAATCTTGAATTAAGTAAGCGAGTTATGCTGTTTTTTATGTAAGATTTATATAAAAAAGCCAATCTTTAGATAAAAAGCAGCAGATAAAAGTATTGCTAGAAAAAATTAAGCATTTTCGGGAAATTAGTTTGCCAAATTCGTTCCTTCGGTTAGCTTTAAATTGTACTTACATTAGCTTAGTTGCTTTTACTAAGATTTTTGGAAGAGATAAAGTGTGTAGTGTGTTGTATAAAAAAAAACATCCTTCATTGAGTTTGTTTATCATATGGTTAAAATAATTTCCAGAATCATAGCAACCAGTGCATGCCATGGTAACCGAACTTGTTTATTTCAACACCTGTCCACCGGCAGTCACTAAAAAAACTAATTCTAAGGAAATCAGTCTGTGAAGAAATTACAATGGTGAACTTTGTATATCCCGAGGAGCTGTACCTTTTCGTCGAAAGCATCCGTCCATTCCAGGTTCGCGATGTGGGCACAGCCAAGTGGCTGGAGGTACACGAGATGGTCATAAAACTGAGCCAGCAGGCGGCCCTGGAGCTGACTCAAAACCGCGAAGAGGAGGTTAAGGAGTTCCTCATTTCGCGGGACAAGTTGCGTCTGCTGATCCATGAGGCCTACTGTGTGACCTTGTGGAAGACCCGTGTGCTTCCTCATCTCCTTGAGATAGATCCCAATCCTCAGGCCACATTTCTCATCTACACGGTGCTGTATCACGAGGCTTCCGTGGTGGCTCTCCTGGATGTGTGTCTATACCATCCCAGTGGTTGCGAGACGCTGCAGGAGTCCGTAATGGATCTGGTGGACTATTGTGCCCAGGCAGTGGCTCAGGTAATTGGCTTGGTCAGCATGGGCTACCACGAGAACGAGTCCAAAATGGACGTCGATGAGGCGGTGCTTACAGAGCTGGAGCGCCAGAAACGTGATCTCATCTACAAGATCGGGCTGCGTTGCATCTCGATTCTTAACTATTTGGCTGATAAAATTGACCTCTTTCACCTGAGTGCCGCACGGCGCATGCTGGTGACCCATGACATTCCCTGGTTGATGGTGGATGTCCTTTGCTTCCGGTAAGAGTTGAATTTGTTCAGGGAATTCCTTTGAATCTTTGCTGAAACATGTATCCTAGTCCATGGCAACGGAAGACCAGCAAGGGATTGCAGAAATTCATCGATGAGAAGTGGACAAATGTGGATGATTCCGCCAAGATTGTGAAGCCGGAGGCTCAGGCCTGGTTCTGTGTAAGGCAGCTGCTCCTGAATAGCCAGGCCATGGAGAACTACGCCATGAATGAGGCTCGTTGCAAGCAGTTGAGCAAGGTAAGTCCCTTTATGAATTAATTTTTTGAGAGGATTCCAAGTAATGTTTTCCCAACAGCTCATGGGTCTGATGCACGAGACTCTCCTAGACCAACTGCCTCCACTCATCGATCTCAAGCAGTTCCTGAGTCGCCTGACTCTTAGTGGCAACACAGCCGCCAAATCGCAGACACTTTTACTTGAGGACATTCCCCAGATTCAGGAGGAGCTAATGAAAGAGGTGGAGAAAGACGGTGGCTTCTATCAGATAGCTCAAGCTCAGGACTCAGTGTTCCTCAGCAAGAATAGGGAGGACATATGCGCCTTAGCCAGTCGCTTGAGCGGGGCCTACGGCACCGAACTGCTCTGCGAGCTGGAGCAAAATCTTGAAGATCTTAAATTGGGGGAGGCGCAGGACACCCAGGCTGGTGGCGACGCAGAACCGGATCACAACAGCTGTGCCACATGCCAGGCGAAGGCCAAGAAAAAGTGCGCCAATTGCAAGCAGGTTTATTACTGCTCCCGGTGAGTTAGAAGTTTCTTAGAAACGTTCAGTTATTAATTAGCAATTTTCAGAGACTGCCAGCTCAAGGACTGGCCGGAGCACAAGACAGCCTGCCTGAAGAAATAAAATGATTAATTTATATTGACTTTACAAGTTTATATAAATATCCAACCGCTTGCCTTAAAATAGAACATTCCAAAAATGTAACTCGTTCAACTTTGTTTTACGTTTCTTACGTCTTTATTTTTTAATTAGCGAATAGCTTATAAAAAAACACTTTCCACGTAGTCTCTCATTCAGCAGACAGGGGACAAGCTGTTTAGCTGTTCTGCCTGAGATGGTCCTTAACCACGTCCAAAGCTTGTGTCTCCTCACCGAAATCCTTGATCACAACGACGGAGCAGCCGCAGACCTTGCGGGGCTTGCCCTCCTTGTCGATCTTGCACAGGCCAGACCATTCGCCCAGCTTCTTGTGCGAGTCAACGCGGATCAGGGGGATCTGGTGCTCGTTGCACAGGGCAGTGACCAGAGTCTTGTAGTTGGGCTCGTCGAAGGACTCGGCCAGGATGGCCAGGACAGCCTGACGTCTGTGGAGGGATAAGAAAAAGTAATGGATTAGACAAGTTTCTATATCGAATCAATAGAAATAAATTTTAGTGACTGTGCTCAGTAATTGGATGGTTTTTAATCAATGGAAAATTCATAAACACGGACCAATTAATTTCATCACTGAAGAAATGTTAACTATTTCCTTTTAGGAACCACGCTTGCGATTTCACAAGACAAGATGGCGACGCATCTGTGATTATTAAAAAATAATACACTTAGATGTATATTAGATCAGTTTAAGGCATGAATAAATGTGCAAGTATTCAACATTTCAAGATATTGTTATGCTTAACTTTAAATGTACTGCCGGTAAGTGAAAAACGTGGTTTAAGAAACGCCGGTTTTACGATTTCTTTCCTAATTTCTTTATAATTCATATAATTCGAGGATTATTAGATTACTCACTTGTCCAGGGCCTTGCAGGCCTGGTGGATGCCATGGACGAGTCCATCGGCAATCAGGGACTTCTTCAGCACCTCCTGGAGGGCGGTGTTAATGTCCATGGCGCCATCGATGACGGGGGCAGCGGAGGGAACATCACTGTGTAAATAAAACACAACATATTATAATAATCTCTCACACAAACGCATTACATTGGAAAACACAGATTTTGCTTGCTCGTTCAGTAATTGGAGGATTATAATCAATGGAAATTCATAAACACGGACCAATTAATTTCATCAACAAGCTGTCGGGCAAAAATTGCGTTTTTCGTCAATAAATAAATCACTTACACATCAACGTCGGCCATATTTTAGCGGTTCAGGTTGCACTTCACTAGAAATAGGGATAATATTGTCATTAATAGCTATGATGTCGAGCATTTCGCCGAATTTAATTGGCACAAACTTTATTGCACTTCTGTACCTTTTGAAAAACCGGAAAGAAAAGAAAAAAGGAGAAGAAGAAAGAAGAGTGCTGGAAAACATCGATACTATCGATATATCGCTATCAAAACACCATTCTTTGCATTATCGATGTTTTTGTTAATTTTTATTTTATAAATTGTAATGTTTTTCCTTAAGTTAAACTTGTTCATGTGATTAGCGCTATATTTATAGATCGCCCCACAACTCGGCCAATAATTATATCGAGTGTAGGACTTATAATAAAAATTTGTGCATTTATTCGATATAACCGAAAAAGTACATTTGAAGTAATGTGATTTCGTCTCATAATATTAGATTCTCAAAAATGAAAGTTAATAAATTTAATAATGTTATCAATTTAATATTATTTGTCGCCCAAAAACATCTATATTAAGCCACTTTAGATTTGTGACAGATTCGAAATCATTACATATAAAAACTAAAAATTACTCAAAGATTTTTTTTATTTATCTATGTAAATTGTTGCACACTAATTTAATAATAATAAATCATAAAATATACGTTTTTTATTTTTGTTTGGCAAAAACAAAACAATTACAAATTTTAATTAATTAACATGCATTAAATAACTTGAGAAGAGTATAATATTTAAATTTTAATATTTTTTCTCCCAAATATGACTTGTAAATGACATGAATAGCCAAAAAGTAGCTCAAACGATCTATCAATTTTTTTCAGTGGAATTAAATTTTTGTAAAAAATAAAATTTGTAAGAATTATACATTATTATTCAAATAAATTTGATAACCTATAATGATTAATATTAAAATATTTTGAACACATTATGCAGAACTATGAAAAAAAGTTCACAGTGTATTCGGAAAATCACGCTTCTTATTAGGAAACACGCGTTAGTAACAGATTATTTGTTTCCCACCTGGTCACACCAAGAAAAGAAGAAGAAGGAAACAAGAAGAGCTGGTAAACATCGATAGCTTTCAAAACATCGACTTATGCATTATCGATGTTTTTGTTAATTTTTATTTTACAAATTTTAATGTTTTTCCTTAAACTATACTTGATCACTAGATTAGCGCTGCATTTATACATCGTCTCACCTCTCGATAGATAATAATATCGAGTGTACGACTAAAATTAAAAACTTTTGCATTTATTCGATACATCCAAAAAAGTACGTTGAAAGTAATATGATTTCGTATCATAGATTCCCAAAATCAATAGTTTATAAATTTAAATTTAAATAAAATGTAATATAATATGCCGTCAAAATTACATCTGTAGTCTTATATAGTCACATCAGATTTGTGCCAGATTAGAAATAATTATATATATAATATGAAACTAAAAATGGTTTTATATTTTTATTATTTATTTAAATCAATTATCACATGTTCATATAACTAATAATAATGAATGCTAATCATCAGAAAAATATATTTCTTATTTTTTTGACAAAAACCAAAAAAGAAAAATATGTATGTATGCATATACATTTAAAAATTCGAAAACTAGTATATAAAAAAAATTGTTTTCTCGCTTCTAAATGACACGTATAGCCAAAAAGTAGGTCATACGATTTGCTTCAATCTTTTTTCGCCCACATTTCATTAAATTCCCTTGAATTAAATTTTTGTAAAATATTAAATTTGTGAAAACTATGCATTATTACCAAAAATTGTTATGATAACTTAAAATGATGTATAAATTGAAAAATGTTGAAAACGTTATTCAGAACTATAAAAAAGTTCACAGTGTATTCGGAAAGTCAGGCTTCTTATTAGAAAGCACGCGTTAGCAACAGGTCATTCGCCGCCTGGTGACCCCGTGCCACCTGGTCACACTAAGATAAACAATCCCAAATTTCCAACCACTCGCGCTTCCGAAGATAACCCCCTGGAATTACCTATAAATATATCTGCTAGATCATTTCCGACAACAAAGTCCCGCCGCCGGAGAGCAAGTAATCAAGTTAAAGCCCCGTGCTGGTGATCCTAAGTGCAATAACTTGTTTATGTTTACATAAGAAGGCAGCCAAAGCAGCAGCAAAAACAACAACAAGGAGAATGGCGACCACGCTACAGTAAGTTGTAGTAGGCGGTGTGTAGTTTTATTATTAATCGCACAGAAAAAAAGAATCCACCATGTGCTCCCGATTCTTGGGCCGCCGCACACAGACACCCAAACCCCGCAACTATATAATTGCCGAAATTTACAGCGGCATGTGAAAATCGTGTGCTTCGCCTGTCTGTGTGCGCGTGTTTTGTGTGCCTTCGTTATCTGGATTCTCGATTGTTGTAGATTCTCCAAATGTTGACCCGTAAGATACGCCACGGGAGCACATATGAATGAATTAACAAGCCCGTTGAGGTATATTATGTGTGTATGTAGCCGGGGCCAGTTGCCGTGCGTGTTCTTTAGGTGCTCTGCTCTGGGATCTGAACTATGCGGCTGATAAGGAGGGCGAATTCTTGGCATAAACAAGCCCACAGTGGCGTCCAGAAAAATTGATAATACCTGTCAAAGATCTGGGGGGTTCGTTGAATTTTTAAAGCTCAATGATGACATTTGATAAACTTTTAATAATAATTTCTTTTCATTTAATTATTTTTGTTGCAGACTAATTGATAATTTCATTTTATCGGTACACAAACCATTATCCCTATATCTCAAACTCAATCGACTAAAACCCCTATTTAATCTAGTGACTGTCATGTCCCTGTATGTCCAATTCAAACCAAATGCTTTCTTTCTCCTCTCGGGGGTTGGGGCTATCTGCGAGGTTCATCGCCAGCTGATTGCGCTGAAAGCGCGCTGGCTGTACTCGATGCTGAATGGAATCGTTAATTGGGCGCATTAGCGTCAGGCCCTCAGAAGAGAAACATGTGCGACCGCAACGTTAGGTCTGGGGCTGGCATCTATTTGTTTAGTTTTAGAAGATAATGCTAATAATGTCTGTGATTCCGTTTTCCCCACAGAGAAGGCATCCTGGTGGGCTGCGGCAATCCGCTGCTGGACATCTCCGCCATCGTGCCGATGGACTTCCTCCATAAGTATGCCATGAAGGAGGACGATGCGATCCTCGCTGAGGAGCGACACATGCCCATCTACCAGGAGCTGGTCGATGGCTTCCAGGCTGAATTCCTGGCTGGCGGATCAGTGCAGAACTCCCTGCGGATCGCCCAGTGGATCCTGGGACAGCCCAAGGTGGCTGTTTTTTTCGGATGCGTCGGCGAGGATAGGTACGCTGAAATTCTGGCTGAAAAGGCTCGTGCCGCCGGCCTGGATGTACACTATCAGGTGAAAAAGGACGTGCCAACGGGAACCTGTGCTGTCCTGATTACAGGAACACATCGATCACTTTGCGCTAATTTGGCTGCGGCCAATAACTTCACCATCGACCATTTGGAAGAGCCCGGAAATAAGGCCCTTGTGGATAACGCCCTGTACTATTATATTTCGGTAAGTCGAGCAGTAGATTCCTTGCCGGAAGTAGTTACTTAATGGCGAAAAGCCAAGCACTTGAGTGAATACCAATTAAGTTATTCAACTTCCTCCTTATGAAGGTTTAAGTGCAATCCCATAAATATTTGTCAACATATATATGTATGGGTAGGCTTCTACGACTCAACTTAAATAATGGAGCTTTCAAAACAATCGACGCGTAAATGTGAAAACAATATCTATAGCCTATGAGCTAGATAACTCCCGACAGCTTTAACATTGACTTTTAATTTAATTAATTAAATTTTACTCACATTAACTTGGTATTCTACTGCGATTTAGATTTGTTAAGACTCAAAAGAAACACATTATTAACGTTAAATCTGTTCCAACAGGGCTTTTTCCTCACCGTTAACCCGCCGAGCATCATGAAGGTGGCTGCCACCGCCCATGCAAATCAGCGACCGTTCCTAATGAACCTCAGCGCACCATTCATATCGCAATTCTACATGGCACCGCTGCTGGCCGTCCTGCCCTACGTGGACATCATCTTCGGCAATGAGGCGGAGGCGCAGGCCTTTGCCGAGGCCCAAGAATGGCCGAGCGAGGATCTGCGCGAGATTGGCAAACGGCTGGTGGCAATGGACAAGCTTAATCCGTCGCGGCCACGCATTGCCATCCTCACGCAGGGCTGCGATCCCGTGCTGCTCTTCCAGCAGGATTCAGTGCAGGAGTTCCCGGTCACAAAATTGGCGGTGCATGAGATTGTGGATACCAATGGCGCTGGGGATGCATTTGTTGGCGGATTTCTGTCGCAGTTTGTGCAGGGCAAGTCGTTGGACGTGTGCATCCGGTGTGGCAACTATGCGGCCGGGCATATAATCAAAAATCCAGGCTGCACATACAATGGCAAGCCGGAGTTTGTCGAGTAAACCAGGAGATGCGAAAGCTACAGAAACCTTACAGACAGATGACAGTTGAAGAGAAAGAGGCAAGCAAAGCGCAGCAAGATTGCAATTGTTAATTAAGTAAATGAGAGTGACTAAGACATTTTGTTAACACTGATAATTGTTTGTACATATAACCCACACTCAGACACACCACACACACACAAGCATACACACACACACATGTGGATTGAGCGAGAGTGTGAGGCTTGTGTCTTATAGATAGAGCAATATTCGAATTTAAATTGATAATAAAACAAAAGTGTGACACACACCCGAGAGAATCACACACAAGTCAACAGTTTGCACAACTTGAAATCTTTGTTTTCACTGAGAGATAGGAATACGTGGGGATTGCCTTAACATTTTATTAAGCACGTTTCAGTAGGCCATTATCTGATTATAAAAGATGTCGCCTCATCGCTTTATTGGGCCGATATGTCAGCACAATTAATTATCTAGCCGAGGGACAAGTGTTAACAATGTAAGCAATGTTTAGAGAAGTCGTCACCAGATAAGATAATTAGAAAAATACTTGAAACCACCTGTATCGCAGATGGCAGGAGTAGCACAGATAAAATTCAGTATCATAAATAAGAAACGTATTTATAGACTTCGCTAATCAAATGTTTCTCCTAAAATAGATAGAATAAAAGTGAGAAGAGCTTCTTTAATTGAATTTACTACAATTTCAGCGACAAACTCTGTTTGGGTTTTACACCACATGCTAAAAATCACAAGTCTTATTGTCTATACTCGGTAGATAAACTCATCCAGCTGTGCCGCTAAGTGTTATTTATAAGCCCCATAAATTTGCAACCCCTTGTCCCGTCCAACAGATAAGATTATCAGTATTTGGCTTTGACTAGTTTATATGAATTGAAAAAAACACGCTAAAATATCAGAAAGAACCTATTTTCAAAAATACAATGTGCTTATTTGGCTGTACGTTGTTTACCTAAAGCTAAAAAATAAAACAATGTTGTGACATTGAACCGCAGTTTGGCTGCTACTCGACCAGATAGCCCCGGATGAAGGGCAATCCCGTTGGCACTCGTTTCTGATAGCGCACATAGTCCGACTGAAAGAAGTTGAGCAGAGAGTACTCCTCGACATAAATGCGATCGTGGAAGAACAGCCAGCTGACCAGTGTGTAAATGCAGATGCAAATCGGATTCAGCAGCACGATTTGGGTGCCAATGGACCACCAGAACCAACCGACATACGATGGATGTCGGCAGTAAGCGTAAACGCCGTTCGTGATCAGCTTGTGGTCCGAGTGTTTCTCATTCTGGACCTGTGGATTGAAAGTAGAATATAAATATGCTCAAACATATGTTTTAAATTAGTCTATTTTCAACTAACCAAATGGGTGAAGCTCCGTCCGGCTGTGATGATGGCCGCCTTGCGCACAACCTCTCCGAACGAGCACAGGACAACGCCCGCCAACCAAATGTAACCGAATCGCTTGAACTCCGGCAAAAAATACACCTCCAGAGCGAACTCCAACCAACTGGCGGCCGCAGCCAATCCATAGTGCACCGAGTGGTTAAGCATGAACGAGTCCAGACTTAGTGTGCGCGGATTGGCAAAGGCTATCACTAGAAACTCAGAGTAGTGGAAGACAGACATAAAGCATCCATATACGCCGAACTGCTGCCATTCGGTGGGTGCAAAGCAAATGACCAGCACACTCACGGCCATGGTGAAGCCAAGGAAGGACGCCCGTATGGCCACCTATGTGGCAGGGTACAGATAGTAAATAATACACATTCAAGGGAGCCTTATCGAGTGTGACTCACCTGATAGTCATTGTTCCTCAGCACAAAGCGTATGACCATGTTGATCAGAGCGTAGTACAGCACCGGACCCCATAGCACCGCACCCCACACTTGGGGGACGATTCCGTAGTGGATTTGCGGCACCGAGGGGATCAGGATTAGAGCTGCTGTTATGACAAAGCAATATAAACTGATTCGGCCGTCATAGCAAAGCGGGGTGCAGCGGAGGGAGCCACCTGGTCCCGCGGCGGGGTCGCGAGGGCTGTTTGCACACATCAGGATTTGGTCGGGACACTATTTGTGCAGCAGGTGTGCGCCAAAACACGGAAATTTAACTTTTTTAAAACATTTGTTCGATGCACCGATATGTAAATAAACCGGCAAGCTGTCGATAACGATATGTTGTACAGTGAGCAATAGCTTAATTAGACAACGAAAGCGGTATTGAATCAAGTTCATTTTCGTATAAATTAAAAATTTGCACAGGCAGAAATGGCATTCATTTTAATTTAATAAAACTATTTTTTTAGATACATGATTTTGTTTGAGTAATGGGTTGTATTAAAGAAAATTATAGCGAATATCTACTGTTTTGAGAAAACTTGTTTTGAGTTGCAGCTATCGATAGGAAAAATAAAAAATAAATGTATTAAACATTTAAATTAATATATATGTGTATTAGCTAAAATCAATAATTGGATTATTTATAATATGCTAAATGGTTGTGCTTTTATTCCATTATTTCACACTTAAATTTCTTATCGATAACTATCGGGTTGGCTGACAAGCAGCTGATAATAGTGTGCAGGTTATGTAAAAAATAAATACAATTTTTACGATCAATTAAACAAGGCAAAGAATTATCTAAAATTACGCCGATATCCAGCTATGGTGTTCCTAAACTTGGCCCTGATGGTCCGGGCCCGCGGTCCGGATGAGTTCTGGCGTAAGCGGCGCATCTTCAAACTGGCAGCGGTAAATATTTTAATTTCCATTCCTACAATAAAAACATTAAAAAACGTTATATTCCTTGCCTGCTGCAGCATTACCGTAGCCGCACCCGCAATGTGTACTCCTTTGCCATTAGGAGTGTCCACAGGGCATTGGCCTACGCCACCAAGGGACGCAAGCTGAAGAAGTTAGACATGGCTCAGCTATGGACGACGCGCGTTGAGGCAGGATGTCAGCAATACGGCGTGGGTCTGGAGACCTTCAAGGAGGGTCTGGCACGCTCCGATATCCTGCTCAACAAGTGTGTATCCCCTTATATAAGTCCAACACAACTCTTTCATGCATTTTATTTGCAGGAAAATGCTTTCCGATTTGGCCATTTGGGAGCCGCGTTCGTTTGAGACACTGGTTAACATCTCCCGTGAACGAGCGGCGGTCGAAGGACTGCCGGATATCAAGCGCAGGTCTGCCTTCAACCAAGTCTATGGCCTGAGAAACCTAAAGCTGGATTAGCTTAGCCTTAGCTTAAGTAGGAGTTCAAATATAGATTTTTTAACGATTATCCTTGGGTGTTTTTTAAGCGTTAAAGAACGGTTGTTAACGTCAGTTTTTATTGAATTGGAATTCGTACTATTTAACAAGTAACTAGAAGTTTATACACTGGCGGTCCATGCGCATTGCAAACAAAAATATTGCATCAGCGGTTTATTATATTTTTTTGGGGATTGTGTATGGTGTTACGTACTAATAAAAAACATAGAATTCATAGAATTGTGAGACAGTGTCCGGATGGGCAACATCTACTCCAGCTTGGCCAGGATGTCGGACTCCCGGAACAGGAAGAGCTCCTTCTGGTCACCCTCAAGGTTCACCTTGGTGCCGCCAAATTCGGGCAGCAGAACGCGATCGCCCTCCTTCACGCCAATGGGAATGTGGGAGCCGGTGGTCTGTACTCAGAAGAATAATCAAATTAGATGATTGCCATTCAGAGATAATTGGGAAATACTTACAGCATTGCGGGTACCGGGACCGACCGCGAGAACGGTGCCCTCGAGCACTTTGCCCACCGATTTCTCCGGCAGAACGATGCCGCCTTTCGTCTTGGTCAGCGCCTCGGCCCTCTGGATGAGGATCCGGTCCAGCATGGGGATGATCTTCTTGATAGCGGCGGACTGCAACGGGTAGAGAAAGCCCCCAACAAATTAACCCATGTTTTACACACACACACACTGATTACACAACAGTCGTCCCCCGGCAAGTCGGCGGAGGTGCTTGTGGAAGCTTCTCGAAACACATACAGCAGTTGGGTTTGCATTGTGTTTTCACTTAGATGTTAAGTAATAGATATTTAACTCACCATTTTTGTTCTTAAATGCAAACTGGAGCTCTCGGGAAAAGCTAAAAAGTGAACTTTTTACTACACGTGCCGGCGTAACTTCGATAGCTGCGGGTCTTTCAATCGTCAGTGTGACCGTTCCGCGTTCCTTGAGCCCCTTAAATCTATCGTTCTTTGAGTACACTGCAAGAAAATATATCAACAAAAATAATATACATTTAAAAAAACTATAATATCATTAACATATTTAACTGTACTACTACTACTAAAAATAATTACAATCTATATTTTTAATTATAATACAGTAGTATTAAGCAATTTTGTAATTCTCGTAACTATCTGAAATAAGAATAAAATTATAGGCCACACTTGTAGGTCGGGCATGTGGAGAAATAAGTAAAATTAAATATTTTTGCAATTATTCACCTTGCTCTTAATAACAATGTACAGTATTTAATGCACAACAATGAAATAATAAACACTTTTTAATTTATATTACAATTTTTATAAAAATTGTTTAAAATAGGACGTACGATAAATATATAAACTATAATTCTGGTCATTATTTAGAGCACATTATCAATGTTTATCAAAATGTTCATGTTTATTTAAGCGAATGATTAACGAACAAAAAGCTGAGCTACGATCGATGGCGACTAATCGACAGTTATAAATATCGATATACTCACGACAACCTGTTTGGCAACTCTGTCTTATGGACTGATTTCGTTTTTTTGAGTCACCACTTGTTTACATTGTAATGTGATTTCTTTAAGAAAACCCAAATCGATTTTATCCGAGCCTCAAGTGACATGCCGTGGCTACTGCTGTTTAAGACTTCTGCCACTCGTTTAAACATTTATGATTTCGCGTAATTTCCTGATTTTACAAACGCCAAGATAGTGAAAATGGAACGTCGTGGCACAAAGGCCCTGGAGCACTGGTGCCGTCTCATAACAAGTGGATATGATGGAGTCAAAGTCGAGAATATGACCACTTCGTGGAGAGACGGACTCGCCTTCTGTGCGATCATCCACTACTTTCGTCCAGACTTAATACAATTCGACAAACTTAAAGCGGGGGATATCTACGAGAACAACAGCCTGGCCTTTTCCACGGCCGAAAAGTATTTGGGCATTCCTGCCCTACTCGATGCCGATGATATGGTTTCCTACGAGGTCCCCGACCGCCTATCGATCCTCACTTATCTATCTCAGTTTTATAGGGTGCTGGGAAAGAACTTCAAGCTACCGAAGGCCGAGGAAGCCATAATTGACGAGGGAGAACCGCCGCAGAAGATGATGCACATTGTTGGCGTGCCCAGACGCGACAAGTGCCAGAAGTGCGAGCTTCCGGTCTTTCTAGCGGAGCGTGTCCTCGTGGGAAAGCATGCCTACCACCGCACTTGTCTGAAATGTGCTCGCTGTGGATCACTGCTCACGCCTGGTAGCTTCTACGAAACGGAGATTAATAATACGTACTGCTGCGAGACCTGTCCCGACGAGGAAAGTGAATTTAGCCTAACAACTGATATTGAAAATTGTTCGCCATCTAGGGATCAAGCTGCCATCGGAGGCCTAGCCTACTTCAGCGATGAGGAGGAGGGCCAACAGGAGGAGGTTGACAAGGAGAAAGGAGGCTTGGCCTCTTCTAAATTACCCGAACCCAAAGCAACGCCCTCGAAAATAGGCGACAGAATTAAGTACTATCAAAGATTAAGTACTGAACAAGATGGCAAGCAAAGTAGATCACCCAAAACTGAGGATCCACCCAAGCCCGCTGTACGAGAAGTTAATGAATCGCCCTCAAAAGCAGTCGAACAAAGCACTAAACCGGATGAAAAGCAAAATATTTCATTTAAAACAGAGGTTTCCCTTCAGCCTGTTGTACGGGATGATTTTAGTGATACGCCATTAAAGCCTGAAGAACAAAAGATAACTGAAGTAGCAGTGACCGAAGTAGATGAAAAGGAAAGTACTTTACCGGATATTGAAACTCCTCCTATGCCCATTACACCGGCTAATCCACCTCCAACGTCCCTGCCCAAAGAAGATTACACTATTTTAATCACAGCAAGTTCTTTGGAGAAACTAAATGAAGAAACATCGGATGATTCGGGCAGAGCAACTGAGGAATTACCAGCTCTGGACGTGACTCACCAACAAGAAGACAATGAGCTTGATAATGAAGTAAACTGCAAAGCAGAAAAAGAAGAAGAAACTATAACAACCGAAAGTAGTCCCAAAAAAGAAAGTGATCTTAAATTACCACCAGTTTTGGAGTCTCCTAAGAAGAATATTTCGGAAACAGAAACTGATTATCCCGAGGATTTGAATCCCTTTAAGGAGGACGAAAGCCTTAATCCGTTCGACAGCTCCGACGATGAGGTGGAGCTTTTAAAGCCAGTTCCTTACAAAGGAAGCGACAGTTCAACACCAAAATGTGATAAAATCGGTCCGGCCATATCCAAGCAGCCAGAGGAACTATATTCCAGAAGTCCGACACCATCTCAAAGAAAGAAGATGCCCATGCCGACCCCGAGGCAGTCCGTGCCAAAATCAAAGGCTCCCTCACCAGCCGCCAGTAACAATCGCTTTTCTACGTCGACAGAGTACTTGGAAATGCCGAAAGCTTTCCAACGGGATTCGAATGAGCGTGGCTCCAGTGTCTCCTTGCCATCGGCCAGTGGGCCACCCAAGCCACAACGTGCCTCAGCAGCTAACTTGAGGCACGAGGATCTAAATTCTCCCATGCGCAAAAAGCGTCCTGCACCGCAGCCACCAAAACAACCCCATTTCGAGGAGGCAGGATTTTCAAAACTATCCGACGAACAGAAGGCGCTCCTGCACGACCAGCTCCTAAAATCCGGTTCTAACTCGAGTGACACCACGAGAAGGTTAATACCACTTGACCAGAGCCTCTTGTCCGATGAGACACGACAGTCGTCCGACTACAAGGAGGGCCAAAGCGCCGACGAGGAGGCAAGTATAGTTTATAGGCGCATTTTAGTTCCGCCGACGCAGTCCGAACATACGACGCCGGATCACTTGAAGGGAAACCAAGCTATTAGCACTGCTGCCCCCATCGATTATAACGACTTCAACAGTCCATTGGCCTACAATAAGTCAACGCACGGGAAGTGGAAGAGGCGGAAAGGGCCGGCTCCTGCGGTGCCAATACCGCCGCGCAAAGTTCTCCAGCGGCTGCCTCTACAAGAAATACGGCATGAATTCGAAATTATTGCCGTACAGCAGTTGGGTCTCGAGAAGCAGGGAGTTATCCTAGAAAAAATGATCAGGGATCGGTGCGAAGTAATGGAAAATTTAAATGACGACGGCTCTTCGGTGCCGGGCGGAGAGACGCAGGCAGCAAACTCCAAGGAAGTCGAGGATCTTATATTGCAATTGTTCGAGCTGGTTAACGAGAAAAACGAACTATTTCGGCGGCAAGCGGAGCTTATGTACCTTCGACGGCAGCATCGCTTGGAGCAGGAACAGGCGGACATTGAGCACGAAATTCGAGTATTAATGGGCCAGCCGGAGCGCAATAAAACCGACTCGGATAAGGCCCATGAAGAGGTATTAATTGGTCGTCTCGTCAAAATCGTCGAGATGCGCAATGCCGTCATTGATAGTCTGGAGACCGATCGGGTTCGGGAAGCTAAGGAGGACATGAGCATAAAGGACCGACTGCATACATACAATTCCGAGCGCGATATCTCAGCTGCTCCCAATAATGCTAAAAAGTTTGGCAAGAAAATGTCGAAGAAGGAAAAAAGCAGCTCAAAGATGAACATAAGAAAGACAAAGCCCTGGATGCCGATGAGTCGGAATCGACGCCTGCCTCGGAAAAGGTTAAAAAGAAACATTTGAAAAACTTATTCTTTTTAAAAGCTTCAAAATAGTTAACATTTCCGATGATTTTTTTATTGCCATAGATATGCACATTCCAGTAAATATTACAAAGCAAGCAAACAATATTTTCTCATTATGTTTAATAAATTTATTTTGGCACTAAAACGTTGATTTCTTTTATTTTGGTGTCTAATTGAATTTCGATCAATAAGGATTTTTAAAACCATTATAATTTTGTAATTTTGTTTTATATTTATTTATTTCTTTTTGTTAAATTTTAGCGATGGTATATTTAGTATTGGGGGATATCGATAAGGAGAGCTGTAAACGATTCCGTCTAAAAAAGCTCCAAAGACAGAACGAATTGCTTAATTAAAAAAAGAAAGTGCAATTATCATGACAATAATAAGAATATAATAAAATATTTTACTAAATACGTATTTAATCCATTTTTCGCTTTGTCTTATCGGATATCGATAGTTTTTGAAGACCATCGCTGAACGGAAAGCTCACATAAGATAAGAGCTACGATCAGAATTATTCATTTTATTCCTCACTTATTCCAACCGATTTAAAAAGGTTTTAACCTCTTTTCATTCTGATTCAAGTACAAAGAAAAGGAAGTCTAGCAATAAAGTGAGTCGGCAAGGGTTGAGTCTTGAAATATAATTGCTTAGGAATACATTTTATGAAGTTTCGGTGATTCCCCCTTAAAAACTTCAAGGAGCTAAAGAAACTGTAATGAATCGAGAAGAGCGGCATCGTGGCTTCAAGGAGTCCTTGGATGGAATCTGGAGAAAGGAGTCCCAATATTTGGATCAGATCTTCGACGAGGGCATTTCCTTAGAGCCCAAACAACAGATGCAATTCTACGATTACGTTTATCACCACTGCTCCAGCTTTGTCCAAAGTGGCAGCGTACACGCTCAGGATCCCGGGAGGCACTTTCATGAGTGCCTGACACGCTACCTTACCGTCCGGCTGAGGGAAATGGCAGCGGAAATGGAGACCATCACAGATTACGAGGAACTGCTCATCGTCTATGCCCGAAAATGGCAGCCTTACCAGAAAGCGTGTACGGAATTGGACCTCATGTGCCGCTTCTTTAACGTCAACTGGGTGAAGCGAGAGCGACTGGTGGGTCACAACAATGTCCATGAGGTTTACCCTATGGCCATGCACCTCTGGATGGAGCTCATTTTCAGGCCCATCGACAGGTCGTTGGTGGACTCCATAGTTCGTCAAAGGAAATACGCAGCCTCCCTGGTGTATCAGGTGCTCCAGTCTATTGTGCAGCTGTATGCCAACGATGTTAGGCAAGAGACGTCGGTTCGAGATAAGTTAATAAACATATTCGGAATGGAATCTGGAGTCTTGCAGTTCTACGAGAAACAGACAACGAAGGTGTTCGAAGGAATACTGGAATCTAAGAGGTATTCCGCCCTCAAGCCCGTACTCAAGTACGCCTGCTTGGCGATGCCCGAGATCGAGGAGGGTGTAAACTTTAAGGAAATCCTGAAGAGCCACATAGCACCGCAGTTGAAGGATGCGCTTGCTAGATCAATGGGAGGGAAGGATTATGTCCAGGCCATACTTGCTTTGCGGCACGGTCCTCTGGAGCGCGGACTTCGTGAGCACAAGAAACTTCTTCATGTCATCGATCAGGTGTGCGAAACGGCAATTAATTCAAGCGAGATCAATCATAAGATGACATCCACTGAACTGTTGGTCCGGTATGCCCATCAACTCATGACGTCGAAGGGTTCGTCGGAGGATGAGCTTAAGCGGATTGTTGAGGTTGTGGAATTTATTTTTGACAAAGAAATGTTTCTTATGCGATACAGAGCATCGCTGCAAAATCGACAGATCAACGAAACATCCACTTCCGACGACCTTGAGGTAACGATGGTTTCCCACCTAGCGAAGAGATTTGGCCATATTGAAACGACAGACCTTTCGAAGCAGTTGAAGGAGATGCAAAAATCCAATGTCATAAAAGATCAATTTGAAGCCTACTTGGTTGGTAGGAATATAAAGCTGGGATACGATTTTCGCCTCAAGTGTTTTAATGCTACAGATATTACACCCAAGATTAATTTAATAATGCCCTTTGAAATGCAGCGAACCGTTGAGGTTTTCAAAACCTTTTTTCTCAATACGTACACAAATCGGAAAGTAGAATTCAATATTCAGAAATCATCTGGAGAGATTATCATAAATATTGATCGAAATTCTCCTTACTTTGTGAAAGTGAGCATACCTCAAATGGCGCTCCTACTACAGTTTAACCAGAAGGATAAGTACACAGTCGAGGAGTTGGCGGTGAGGTTGGGCACACAAGTAGACATCATAATACCGGTGAGTTTGCCTCTAAGTGAAATAATACAGTGAAGAATTAGATAAATAATTCCCATATATTTGAGTGGGTCAATTACTTTAACCGCATTTCTTTATAGCTTAGTTTTCCACAATTTATCCTAATTAGTTTCAAATACTTTCCAGATATTGGACAGTTGTATAAGGGAGAAAATTCTAGTCTGTGGCGAGTCATTATCATCATCCTCCTCTGTGGAAGTGGCAAGGGAGTTCACAAAAAGGAAACGACATCTCAACATCAACACGGTGCCAACCAAGCAAATAAAACTTGAACCGAAATTCGATGAAAAAGAATTAAGACTAAAGCGGTCTATTCAAGTCCGGTGTGTAGTTGTCCGGATTATGAAGAAGAGCATGATCATAAGCCACACACAGTTAATTGGCGAGGTCATCGAGGCGCTAAAGAATCACTTTAAACCAGACACAAAACTAATTAAAAGGGAAATTGAGCATTTGATTGACATGAGTTACCTTGAGCGTTCCGACAATAATTCATACACATACATAAGCTAAAGGCTTCACATTTATTTAGTTTTTTTTTTTTTTATTTATTTTAATAAAGATATTGTATAATCTACAATTATTATTCCTTGTGATAAAATGCATTTAAGGACGCAATTACTAATTTTTAGATTTTGTTACAAAATGTATATGTATTATTATTGTTTAATTGTATGATATAATTTTAGTCAGAAGCTTGCAAACCTGCGTTGAAGGAAACAAAGAAACAATCATTGATTTCAAAAACAGGCAAGGATTCATTTTATTTGTGCTTTCTGCTTTATGATATCATCGCACTTCGACGAAGTATAGTTTTATTTCAAAGTAAACAATGTCCTAGGGAGAGACCCAGGAAATAGTTAACAAGTAGCTACACCTGTACTATCCTTAATATATATTCTTATCTTAGGAGATTTCTTGGTTTTGATTATGAACATTTTTAAATTCAGGCAATTATTCCACGTTTTCCTATGGCAGCCATTATATATATATTATATATAGTCGAATGAATTGAGATCCAGATGGGAGTATGCTATGTGGGAATGGACAGATGAACGAGGTCCAGGCGGGAATGAACAACTTAATCGATTCAGTCTACATGCAAATATGGCTGGGAACATAGGAACAGATCTCCTTTCACTTGCGTCATTTTCGTTGCTTCATCTCGTGATCATCGATTTCCTTGGCGGTCGGCAGCGAGACCCCGTTGTCGCCCGCGACCAATTTGTAGTTGGAATTTATTGCGCCGAATCCAAAGTGACTGCCGGGAGCCATGTTCACAGCAACCTCGCTGGACATCGGGAGATCGGTGTACTTCTGGCTGAAAGCCTGAGACATGCGCTGCACTCCGGAGCAAATGTTGCCGTATATCAGACGATCGTGCATCCTGTGCTGCAGTATGGCCATCCTGGCGAGATAGCGCAACTGACTCTGGGTGAGTGGTCGGGCTGAGAAGTTTCGGCGGGACTCGATGCCTCCGGTGACCTCTTCGCAGAGCAGCCCCTCTAGCGGCAGTCCGAATATCAGTGATATGGCCTCAGGCAGTGAACAGGGCGTTTTCTCACGGCGGGCCACGCATAGGACAACAAAGGTGTCCCAGATTCCGCCCAATTGAATGCCATGTCGCTTATCCAGATGATCGGTGATCCGATGGCTGTAGTGTACAACCTTGCGAGGCTGCTCCGCCTCCAGGATTGCTGCCAGCTCCTTGAAAATGGCTCCCAAGGCCCTAATGTCGAAGACATAGGTCTCATTGACCGTAGCCACCGCCAACAGTGATGTGGGCTGGTGGCGTCCGTAGAAGCTGGGCTCCACCAGCAACGAAATGCTGCTCTGGTCCCGTATGTTACGCAGGGCCGTATGGTACTTGACATCCGTTTGCTGGATAAATATTATTTGGTTTAGCTTCCGCTCCAGGGACTCCAACTCGTGGCTTGTCAGCGGAGAGCATATGGATGCATCCATGGGGTTCGATTCCAACGCAGAGAAGTAGGACGACACACTGTCATCGCTGTCACTGTCCGTCATGTTGCTCCAGAATACTGTGTCATGTATTAGTTAATTAATGTTTAATTATTACTTTTATTGTGTTTTGACTCGAAAATCAGAATGTGCCCGCCTGAGCTTCCGCCAGAAAAGAGTGGCTTATTTGGTATTTTTACCTTAGTGGCTGATGGTCAGACTAAAATGCTCTTCAAGTCGAGGCTGCCAGACTGCCAAGGAAAATCGCTTTAATATATGTCTGTATAAGCATTTTCTACACTAAAGAGGTCGCTTTATTTGTATGTTGATTTGCATATCCAAGCCAGATGCCGCTTTTTGTTTTTTAATGTTTAATTTTCAAGAAAATATTAAATTTCGCCATTTAAAATAAATAAGTACTGGTTTCCTTATAAGGCTAAAGCATATTATTTTTTCATTACTTGGTGTTTTACATTATCAGAATCTTTATAATTTCGGGAATTTCGTTTTGTATCTAATTGTTTAAGATTGTATTATTTACAAAATAGCATTACAGTTCTCTTAAAATTTCTAAAAATTACATTACATATTTTTTTTTAGTAATATATTATTAATTTAAAATTTTAAGAGAAATTAATAGATATTGTAAATGTGTTTGGCAATAAAATATTTTATATGCAACATGTTGTGTTTAGTGTTTAGTGTTTAGAAACTTTTATAAAAATTTAAGTAAAACAAATGTAAAACTGAATAGTATTTATTTAATTGAAAGTAGCTAAAACCTATTACAAGTCCATAAAGTACCCATTGAGTAATCGTTTCAATTACTATCTTCAGTAGAAGCATCTTAAGACCCATCTCATCGTCCAGCTAAATTGAAAGGAGCTTTGTCGCTCCACACCGCATCGCCACCTCGGGTCGATGGAGAATGGAACTGGATGCGTTGCTGGGTTATTGATTCCCTTTTGATTCGACCGCAAGCTAATCTGGCGACGCAGACGGATGATATGTACGTCGGCGGGGTCCAGTCGATTTGCTAATGGCAAACTCAAGACTGCAAGATGAGACAAATAAGTGGTCCGTAAGTCGGCTAATAATGGAACCCGAAGCGATTACACTGCAAAAGGTTAATTGGTTTGTAAGCACGCGGCGGAAAAAGAAGGAAGGCGAGGCGGAAGTGTGCTGAAAATACTGGCCGTAAGTCCAGGCAGCTGACTCAACCTAATTGGCGCACGCGGCGCATACTTAATGCGCTTAGATGCGGGCCAAGCTCTCCGATTTCGCCACAGCCGTTGACGTTGCCATTGCCGTTGCCGTTGCCACTGCCAGTGGCGCTGCAGGAACCGCTTTGGCCCTTGTAATTAAATCCCGACCAAGGCAGGCCAACCGACCTAGCCGACCAACTGCAACGTTACAGAATTGAGCCGTTCAAAGGGCAAATCAGGTTTAATTTTAATACGCTTGCTAAGTAAATTGAGTGAACCAAATATATCTGCTCATCTTATTTTGGACGTGCTGAAATTGAAAATAAATTGGAATCGACGATGGCTTTGATGTGTAGCTGAATGGTTGTTAAATGATGTGAGTGAATTTAATCAATGGGTGGAAATAAATATATGTAGGTAGCATATCTAGTAGTATTAAAATCAAATTATGGAGTATTAGGGAAAAATGTATGAAGTATTTAAGTGAGTTGTCGAATCATAAAGTGTTTTCAAAAACCTCAGAGATTGTATTCCTGATTGGAATTTGCAATTGCGGAAGTCAAGACCCATGGAAATTATTGACTATCAATTAAAATACCAAAGGAGTCACTTTTCCCCTCGATAATTAATGTCATAAACAGCAATCTTTTATCGAACATTCAACCGGGACTCAGGTTCAAAGCTCTTCCCGTTTCCTTTATTTCTGCGTTTTGTTTCCGTTTTGCGCGTTGTCAATTATTGTTGCATACTTTGTGGCGAACAATGCAAAGTGGTTAATGATGGCGACAGCGACGATGGCGTTGGTTAGTGGCCTTTTACGTCGGTCTTTGGGGGTGTTAGAGGCTAACAAGAAAATCCCTCTATGCCAACACGCGCACACCGTAATTAAGAGGCACTCCACTCCATTCCGGTCGCTGGGGAGCACGATGGCTTCGGGCCAATGGGAAAACAATGGATGAACACACGCCGACCACCCACCCTTTATGTTTCCTTTCCCGGGCCGGGCCTGGCCCGGAGCTGACCCAATTAGTCGCAGAGCATCTCCATCCTGCGCCCCGAATCTTCGATGTGCTGTGGCACAGTATCTTTCTAGTTGCCAGGCTCCGAGTTGCCACGTTAATTAAATTATCACGTGTCAATTAATGCTGCCCGGCCCAGGGACACACAGGCGAAAAAACGCAAAGGGTGAACCATTCACTTTGACGTCCAACGTTGGTGCTGCGGAACACGGTGCGTATGAGCAATGCCTGTCAACTATCAGCTGTCGCAATTTCTCACAGAGGTGCCATGGCGTCATATTTTTCGTTTCTACCACAAAGCAACCAAAAAGCGGACCATAAAAAGTGTCGCTCAAAAATCCGTTTGATGATTCTTGTCAAAGTTTTTCAGCGATTTCATATTCGGCTTTTCCGCGGTAGTGCAAAAGTTCGATAACAACGCCTGGATTTGGTGGATTTTATGTCGAGGCCTGGGATTCCCAAACGATTGAAGTTCATAGAACTTTTTAAAAATGATTTTGTAGACACTTGTAAAGTATATAGTATTTCTTTAATCTTAATCCTACTGATAGGTATCTCTTAGTCGGGCTTACCAATATAACTATATTTTTAAGGGGCATGCCACCACAGTTTCCATTCCATGATCTCTCCCCCGCTTCATTCGCTTAACGGTTAAAGTTTTTCAATTAAACGATTAAAATTCCAGCGCTTTTCGTGCGTTTAATTAAACTCAGCCCGCGGCCAGCAAAATCAGAGTCAGAGTCTAGCATTTGTTTGGATTTATGCTCAATTTGATTGTGGAAATGCCTCTGGGAAGAATGCTGAATGCCGAATGCTGAATGCTGAGCAATTAGCGGTGGGTGTGCGACCACTTGATGATGATTTCCTTGTAATTTTTACATAAAACAGCAAAACGTTCAATATAAAATAAGTGGAAGCTTGTGAAAATGGAAAGGAAATGTTTAATCATGTTTATTACAATTTCCTTTTTGTGTTGATTCACTCAAAGTGAAAAGAAAATGGGAAAATTGTATTAGTTTTCAAGGGAAATTGAGGGAAATCTTGAATATGATTCAATAATTCGAAATAAAAATGATAATGTCAAACAAAGCCTATTTTAGTTTCTTAAATATTTATATATTTTGAAATATACTAGATAAAATAATATAAATAAAAAGGCAGTAAGCAATCTAGTCTTGTTTTTATGGCATCATTAAACTTTTAAATTCTTCACATTAAATAAACACAGCCAATAAATAGAATTTATGCCCAGCCATCCCTTTTGCCCGCCATCGATTTGCCATATTATTCCGGTAAATCCTATTTATTTAATATGCAGAAAATAAACAAAAATGACAGAAATGGTCGGTGCCAAAACATATTTCACACCTAACAAGCTTACAAGCTACTATTATTGCCGTTGCAGGCTGGCTGCTTAAATGGGATAGCCGCAAAACCGCAAAATTTGTGTTACATTTGCAGGCTGTCGTGTCAGCGAATTGCTATCCCTTTTTTTTAGCTCTCTCTCGCTCTTTTTCTTTTTTTATTTTTTGGCAACATTTCAGTGAAAGTCGTATGTGGCGGTTGAATTTTTTCCTGTTTAATGGCATACTTCTGGGCGCAGGGCCAACCACCTGTACCAGGAGCAGCAGGAACAAAGAGGCCATCGGGCGGCGGGGCGTTGCAATGGGTCTCAGGTGCGAAGTATCAACGGCGGTGTTATTGTCGCCATTGCAGTTGTCCATAATGGTTTCGGCCATAAGCTCAGGCAGCAGTCTGGGTTCCCCGCAGGACAATTGTCCTGGCCTGCCAGCGTCGAAAACATTAACAGGCATTTTTATCGCCTCATCCCCTTTCGAACAGAAAGTGCGCGGATTGCGTCCGCAATGCTATTTGAATGCCTTTTTGAGGACAACCGCCACGGCCATTAAAATTCCGATTTCGTTCGGTATTATTGCAATCAGGGAAGGACCTCTTTGATAAGCTTGAAAAAATGCGTTTAACTTTATTAAACCTTTTTTTTGTGATTGGCAATTCTGGATATATTTTGGGTTCGACTTGGGTTTATTTCTGTTGTTTATTTATTTTGTTTTTTGGTTATAATCAACGTTCTCCTCCTAAAAAATATATAAAACAGAATTCTTAAGATTAATTTTTAATGTCCTTGTGAAAAAGCATTCACTTATTTTTCATAGAGTGTAAAATATTTTGTTGCACAAATCGTCTTGTTAGTATTGTTTATTTAAGAAGCCTGCCAGCAGATATTCCTTAGTATTTATGAAGTCCTCAATTTGCATTGTTTGTGCGTGTTCTATATGCGGTTGCCTTTTTATTGGCGGCGCATTGCTGGACATGTAATTATGTGCAATATAAATGCTTAGTGGGGGAAATTATGATGCAATAACTTTTCACCCATACGAAGGAGCAGGCAGCCACTTACATACATTGAAAATGCCAATCGAATGCCATCAAACAGAAGCACACACAGGCGCAAGAGCAGAGGAAAAAAAGAAAATATACACAAGAGTGTGTGGTGTGTGAGTATCCTTTGATCCCTTAAGCAACCAATGCGTATACTCAATTTTTATGGCTTGTCATTTGCTTGCTCCTTTTTATACTGGTCTCCTCTTATTTTCTTCTTATTTTGAAGCCTCACTCGACTCCGTCTGAAGCAGGAAATGTGAAAAAACGTGGCAGTAGGTCAAGGGGGTGCGCCGACGGAGAAGGACTTCTCGTTTTGCGGAATTTTCGGGCCTGCAATCTCAACATTTGTTTCACCCACTTAGACGAAATTACGTAGCCCGAGTCGCTTCTCAGTCATGACCGCCTTCGACCCCCCAAACCCTCAAAATTTTCTTTTTCCTTCTCAGGTTTTCTTATTTCCCCCCCTCTGTCACTTTCCTCACTGTTCGGCTGAGCTCTTGTATTGCCTGGATTTTGTGCCTTTCATTTGCGGCTTGGGGATTGTGTGTTTTATGC